TTCCAGCTGTGGTGCAGCCCCTCCAGTGATGTGCCCCTGGACATGCAGGGCTGTGGCAGGATCAAGGTGACGAGGATTGGGGAGAATGAGGACGGCTGTCTCTGTGGCTCTGCCAACCTGGGTGAAGACATGCTATGCTTGCTGCATGTCAAAAATTAGAAGCCCAGAGCTGACCACACCCCGGACGACCTTCTGTGCTCCAAGAACACGCCTCATCTGGCCAAGGACCAGGTCATGAAATGGTTCCAGATCTCTCTGACAAAAGCCTGAGGACAGATTTCTCACAAGTACGAGTTTGAGCTCACTTTCCGCAACCTGGATGAAGCTGGAGCCCTGAAGGTCCGATTCCGCTCAAGAAAGGTAGTTGTGATTAACATTATCCCCGTCGTGCAACTAGAGGACACAGATGCTTACTTTGTGTCACACTTCCCCTCTGACAGCAGCACCTATTCAGACACCTACTGGCCCCTCTCATTTGCTGTCTATGAGAGGAATCTGCTCAAACGTGGCTAAAAGCCTGCCTGAAAATTCCTGCCACCTCCACTGCCTTCAGATCGTCACTTTCCTACACAAGAAACAGATGGGTCTAAAGGGTGTACTCTGACCAACTACCACCTGAAAACAACCCTGCTGCACCTGTTGTTGAGTAAGGAGTTGTCTAGCTGGGGCTCTGAGAGTCTGGAGCACCAGCTATGGGACATGCTAGGCTTCCTGCACAGGAGTCTTCAGGAGAACAGACTCTGTCATGCTCTGGTAGGTAACAGCCAAGTTCCACCAGAAGTCCGGGTTCCCGCAACATTCCGCACGGCGGAGACCATCAATCTTTTCTGGCCACTGGTGTTACAGAGAGCGCTTTACGCGGACACGCTTCTGCGTTTCCAGGAGATGCTCAGTCAGGAATGCTCCTGTTCTGATTCAGGAGTACACGTCTCTGTTACAAAATGGTATACAACAACTCACCACAGACTCAACTCAACAGTACAGTCTGAGTAATTGACTGTTTTTTGATGCACTGAAGTGAGTGGAGGTATTCTCCATTATAATTAGTCACAAATTTATGTTACAGCTTTAAGACATTTCTCTAGGCACTGAAAATAAGTGAGATGAACAATGCTTCTTTGTTATTTTGAGATGGACGTTTTGGTTGGTCTTGCTGTAGCAGCTTCCAAAACCCTCAAGGAAGTTACCAGTGTTCTTATACTGAACAAAAATATGAATGCAACATGCAACAATTTCATTGATTTTACTGAGTTACAGTTTATATGAGGAAATCAGTCAATTGAAATAAATTCATTAGACCCTAATCTATGGATTTCACATGACTGTGACCAACAGATATGAATCTGTGGTCACAAATACCTTTAAAAAAATGGGCCGCACAATGGGCCTCAGGAACTCGTCACGGTATTTTTGTGCATTCAAATTGGCATCGATAAAATGCAATTGGGTTTGTTGTCTGTAGCTTATGTAGTTTATGCCTGCCCATACCATAACCCCACCGCCACCATGGAACACTCTGTTCACAACGTTGACATCAGCAAACCGCTCACCCACACAACGCCATACACGTGGTCTGCAGTTGTGAGGCCGGTTGGACGTACTGCCAAATTCTCTAAGATGACATTGGAGGCGGCTTATGATAGAGAAATTAACATTCAATTATTAACAGTTCTGGTGGACATTCCTGCAGTCAGCATGCCAATTGCACGCTCCCTCAAAACCTGAGACATCTGTGGCATTGTGTTGTGTGACAAAACTGCACATTTTAGAGTGGCCTTTTATTATCCCCAGCACAAGGTGTAATGTGCACCTTGTGTAATGATCATGCTGTTTAATCAGTTATTGATATGCCACACCTGTCAGGTGGATGGATTATCTTGATAAATGAGAAATGCTCACTAACAGGGACGTAAACAAATTTGTGCACAACATTTGAGAGAAAAAAGCTTTTTGTGCATGTGGAACATGGGACCAACACTTTACATGTTGCGTTTATATTTTTGTTCAGAGTAGTAACAGTACTCTAACTGCTATTTCAGTATGGCTGTTTCAAAAGTGCAATTATATTTAACTGAATGAAGGTTCTTTACAAAAACAGTTTTTCTCCTCACAAAATTAGAGCAGTATATTTTGATATGAAGAATAGGTATTATTTCTGTATATTTGTATTCTAGAGAAGAGCACATCATACTTTGTAGAATAGTTGTTTTTAAGATAAAGTATTATCAGTTTTAAAATACGTGTCAACAATTGCAAACTGTTCTTGGATGGTTGGGAGAAGTTGCTCTCAGAGGATGTGTTGGTACCATTCTTTATTCAGGTCTGTGTTCTTAGGCATAATTGTGAGTGAGCCCACTCCCTTGGCTGAAAAGCAACCCCACACATGAATGGTCTCAGGATGCTTTACTGTTGGCATGACATAGTAGTGCTCACCTTGTCTTCTCCGGACAAGGTGTTTTCCGGATGCCCCAAACAATCAGAGAAAATGACTTTACCCCAGTCCTCAGCAGTCCAATCCCTGTACCTTTTGCAGAATATCAGTCTGTCCCTGATGTTTTTCCTGGAGAGAAGTGGCTTCTTTGCTGCCCTTCTTGACACCAGGCCATCCTCCAAAAGTCTTCGCCTCACTGTGCGTGCAGATTCACACCTGCCTGCTGCCATTCCTGAGCAGGCTCTGCACTGGTGGTGCCCCGATCCCGCAGCTGAATCAACTTTAGGAGACGGTCCTGGCGCTTGCTGGACTTTCTTGGGCGACCTGACGCCTTCTTCACAACAATTGAACCTCTCTCCTTGAAGTTCTTGATGATCCGATAAATGGTTGATTTAGGTGCAATCTTACTAGCAGCAATATCCTTGCCTGTGAAGCCCCTTTTGTGTAAAGCAATGATGACGGCATGTGTTTCCTTGCAGGTAACCATGGTTAACAGAGGAAGAACAATGATTTCAAGCACCTTTTAAAGCTATTGTTATTCTAACTTAATCAGCATGACAGAGTGATCTCCAGCCTTGTCCTCGTCAACACTCTCACCTGTGTTAACGAGAGAATCACTGACATGATGGCAGCTGGTCCTTTTGTGGCAGGGCTGAAATGCAGTGGAAATGTTTTTTGGGGATTAAGTTCATTTTCATGGCAAAGAGGGACTTTGCAATTAATTGCAATTCATCTGATCACTCTTCATGACATTCTGGAGATATGCCATCATCAAGACTGGGGCAGCGGACTTTGTGAGGATTAGTATTTGTGTCGTTCAAGACTTTTGACCATGACTGTGTGTGTGTATATATATATACAGTGGGGGGAAAAAGTATTTAGTCAGCCACCAATTGTGCAAGTTCTCCCACTTAAAAAGATGAGAGAGGCCTGTAATTTTCATCATAGGTACACGTCAACTATGACAGACAAATTGAGAAAGAAAAATCCAGAAAATCACATTGTAGGATTTTTAATGAATTTATTAGCAAATTATGGTGGAAAATAAGTATTTGGTCACCTACAAACAAGCAAGATTTCTGGCTCTCACAGACCTGTAACTTCTTCTTTAAGAGGCTCCTCTGTCCTCCACTCGTTACCTGTATTAATGGCACATGTTTGAACTTGTTATCAGTATAAAAGACACCTGTCCACAACCTCAAACAGTCACACTCCAAACTCCACTATGGCCAAGACCAAAGAGCTGTCAAAGGACACCAGAAACAAAATTGTAGACCTGCACCAGGCTGGGAAGACTGAATCTGCAATAGGTAAGCAGCTTGGTTTGAAGAAATCAACTGTGGGAGCAATTATTAGGAAATGGAAGACATACAAGACCACTGATAATCTCCCTCGATCTGGGGTTCCACGCAAGATCTCACCCCGTGGGGTCAAAATGATCACAAGAACGGTGAGCAAAAATCCCAGAACCACACGGGGGGACCTAGTGAATGACCTGCAGAGAGCTGGGACCAAAGTAACAAAGCCTACCATTTGTAACACACTACGCCGCCAGGGACTCAAATCCTGCAGTGCCAGACGTGTCCCCCTGCTTAAGCCAGTACATGTCCAGGCCCGTCTGAAGTTTGCTAGAGTGCATTTGGATGATCCAGAAGAGGATTGGGAGAATGTCATATGGTCAGATGAAACCAAAATAGAACTTTTTGGTAAAAACTCAACTCATCGTGTTTGGAGGACAAAGAATGCTGAGTTGCATCCAAAGAACACCATACCTACTGTGAAGCATGGGGGTGGAAACATCATGCTTTGGGGCTGTTTTTCTGCAAAGGGACCAGGACGACTGATCCGTGTAAAGGAAAGAATGAATGGGGCCATGTATCGTGAGATTTTGAGTGAAAACCTCCTTCCATCAGCAAGGGCATTGAAGATGAAACGTGGCTGGGTCTTTCAGCATGACAATGATCCCAAACACACCACCCGGGCAACGAAGGAGTGGCTTCGTAAGAAGCATTTCAAGGTCCTGGAGTGGCCTAGCCAGTCTCCAGATCTCAACCCCATAGAAAATCTTTGGAGGGAGTTGAAAGTCTGTGTTGCCCAGCGACAGCCCCAAAACATCACTGCTCTAGAGGAGATCTGCATGGAGGAATGGGCCAAAATACCAGCAACAGTGTGTGAAAACCTTGTGAAGACTTACAGAAAACGTTTGACCTGTGTCATTGCCAACAAAGGGTATATAACAAAGTATTGAGAAACTTTTGTTATTGACCAAATACTTATTTTCCACCATAATTTGCAAATACATTCATAAAAAATCCTACAATGTGATTTTCTGGATTTTTTTTGTCATTTTGTCTGTCATAGTTGACGTGTACCTATGATGAAAATTACAGGCCTCTCTCATCTTTTTAAGTGGGAGAACTTGCACAATTGGTGGCTGACTAAATACTTTTTTCCCCCACTGTATATATATTTTTTTATGAAGTTGTATAGGTTTTGTATTACCAGTACCTCTCATACACATTGTAACTTGCCTATTTTAACACAAAATGTACTTTTAGCAACTTTGCATGTTTTTAATTTGCAGTGTTTATTCATAAATGCTGAAGGCATCTTCCAGTTTTTGGCAATTTGTATGATGGACTGTTAATTACTTGCGTCATAATTTAGCTACGTGACATTACGGATTTAGCCATTATTGATTTAGCTTCGTGACAGGCAAGACAGTGGCATTCATAATTCCACAAAGAGATGATATTATTCCATGGTAGTACTCCACCCTCTATTCACGGGCCTGTCCAAGTACAGTCTATGTTAATGTCAAGACTAGTGGTGAAAAGAAGATAATGCAGATGACGATCAAAAAACTATTTCACTTCCAGATTTCAGCACACCAATATAAAAATACCGGAACTCTTGTTGTGCCGTCTTTATTACATAAAGATAAAACGCTGTGTGTGGACAATGCATCATAGAAATCAACCATAACATACATTATTCAAATAGTTCCACCAACATTTATTATGATCTACCACTTGTTCTAAACTACATAATCATTATACATTGTATTGGGTCCATTCAATACACTGGTAATCAGACCATACATGTTCCATATGAAATATAAACAAAGGAAAGGACATTTTAGACAGAAATAAACTTTCATAAAAGTTTTGTATGAGATGCACAGCTGCTCAACTGTATTGACATGTACATCTAATGCCCCAATTACCTTAGCAGGAATATAAAATGAGAGTAATTTAACATCAGGAAACTGGACGGCCAAGGGTTAAGTGCCACATATCTACAGGCCATAGTCATAATTGGGTTTCCCGTCGACGTAGGTCTTGTAAAAGGCCTTGTAGGTCTCAGTGGGGAACATGGTGGCTTTGACAGTTTGATCATCGGACATGTGCTCTGTCCACTTCTTCAGCTCAGGGGTACTAACCAGACAGCTGGAAATTAGAGATGAGACATTTATTTGCATTTTGGAAATGAGACTAATGAGTCCGTGAGTAACTCACAATGCACTTTGGTTATGAACCAAACTAAATAAATCTCACAAGCAAGAGGACTATGGATCTCATAAACCCTATTAGAGATGCAATAATGTGGAGGAATTTGGTGACTGCTATTCACACACTAGGGCCAGTTTTCACAAAGCGTCTCAGAGTAAGAGTGCTGATCTTGGATCAATTTTGGATTTTTTAAATCATAATGAATAAGATCATATGGACAGAGGGGACCTGATCCTAGATCAGCACTCCTTCTCTGAGATGCTTTGGGAATACATGCCTAGGTCTCAAGAGTGTTCCACAACTCCCACATCACAGTATCGCTATGGATTTCTAGGTTTGAGATGCCTTAAACTGAAAGACAAAATTATATTTAATTTAGAATGGATACATACTGCTTCAACTCAAAGATCTCCAGCCTCTCAAACCACGGCCACATCATGTAATCGATCATTGTGATTGCATTTCCACCAAAGAACGTGGACTTCTTATTGACAAGATCCTGAAAACAAAAGTTCAGTATTTTAGAGACACGTGAAATCATGCCATCTCATTGTAAACTATTAAGATAATAAATTGACTTAAACTTTCAAAACATTTCAATCTGGATGTAATCAAGGTAAATCCCTAAAACAGTAGTAATATGTGTTGTTAATGTTTATGTCTAGCAGGGTTTCCGTTAGCCGGTAATAGCCGGCTTTTGGCCGTAAAATTAAATAAAGCCAACAAATAAAATTGGCACTGGACAACCGTGAGAAGAAAAAAAATCCCATCGCAAAATAAGGCTTTTTAGCCTATACATTGATGGAAATACATTTGACTAGTCACTGTTTAATTTGCATAATTTAATGGAATTAAACTGGTGTGTGTGTATATTTGTTATGTAGCTTATTTATCACACGCACACAGCATACAGACAGAGCCTTGGAGCAGAAAATCTGTCAGACAGAGCTTTTATAAGCCCAATCATTGCGCAACAATTCTAAACACAATCATATTTTACAAATATTTTTGACCATGACTAAAAAAAGAGCTACTCTTTAATTCTCAACTGGTAATTGAAACGCGCTTCCCATTCGCCATTCAAATGCTTAGCAAGAGTAGGCAGGCTACAGCGCATCACACACCACTTTGCAATGAGCTGGAGGCAGTGGGCATTTTGAAAACATATACAGTGCCTTGCAAAAGTATTCATCCCCCTTGGCGTTTTTCCTATTTTGTGGCATTACAACCTGTAATTTAAATTGATTTTTATTTGGATTTCATGTAATGGACATACACAAAATAGTCCAAATTGGTGAAGTGAAAAAAATTAAATTCTAAGAAATAAATAACGGAAAAGTGGTGCGTACATATGTATTCACCCCCTTTGCTATGAAGCCCTTAAATAAGATCTGGTGCAACCAATTACCTTCAGAAGTCACATAATTAGTTAAAGTCCACCTGTGTGCAATCTAAGTGTCACATGATCTCAGTATATATACACACACACCTGTTCTGAAAGGCCCAAGAGTCTGCAACACCACTAAGCAAGGGGCACCACCTAGCAAGCGGCAGCATGAAGACCAAGGAGCTCTCCAAAACAGGTCAGGGACAAAGTTGTGGAGAAGGACAGATCAGGGTTGGGTTATAAAAAAAAAATATCAGAAACTTTGAACATCCCACGGAGCACCATTAAATCCATTATTACAAAATTGAAAGAATATGGCACCACAACAAACCTGCCAAGAGAGGGCCGCCCACCAAAACTCACAGACCAGGCAAGGAGGGCATTAATCAGAGAGGCAACAAAGAAACCAAAGATAACCCTGAAGGAGCTCCAAAGCAGAGATTGGAGTATCTGTCCATAGGACCACTTTAAGCCGTACACTCCACAGAGCTGGGCTTTATGGAAGAGTGGCCAGAAAAAAAGCCATTGCTTAAAGAAAAAAATAAGCAAACACGTTTGGTGTTTGCCAAAAGGCATGTGGGAGACTCCCCAAACATATGGAAGAAGGTACTATGGTCAGATGAGACTAAAATTGAGCTTTTTGGCCATCAAGGAAAACGCTATATCTGGCGCAAACCTAACACCTCTCATCACCCCGAGAACACCATGTTTTTCATTGGCAGGGACTGGGAAACTGGTCAGAATTGAAGGGATGATGGATGGCGCTAAATACAGGGAAATTCTTGAGGGAAACCTGTTTCAGTCTTCCAGTGATTTGAGACTGGGACGGAGGTTCACCTTCCAGCAGGACAATGACCCTAAGCATACTGCTAAAGCAACACTTGAGTGGTTTAAGGGGAAACATTTAAATGTCTTGGAATGGCCTAGTCAAAGCCCAGACCTCAATCCAATTGAGAATATGTGGTATGACTTAAAGATTGCTGTACACCAGCAGAACCCATTCAACTTGAATGAGCTGGAGCAGTTTTGCCTTGAAGAATGGGCAAAAATCCCAGTGGCTAGATGTGCCAAGATTATAGAGACATACCCAAAGAGACTTGCAGCTATAATTGCTGCAAAAGGTGGCTCTACAAAGTATTGACTTTGGGGGGGGTGAATAGTTATGCACGCTCAAGTCTTCTGTTTTTGTGTCTTATTTCTTGTTTGTTTCACAATAAAAAATATTTTCCATCAAAGTGGTAGGCATGTTGTGTAAATCAAATGATACAAACCCCTAAAAATCCATTTTAATTCCAGGTTGTAAGGCAACAAAATAGGAAAAATGCCAAGGGGGGGTGAATACTTTCGCAAGCCACTGTAGCTACTTAATTGTTTGAAACCTGAATGTTTTACTACATATTAGGGCTGACCCAAATTAGTTGACTAGTCGTTAGGCTGTTGGTCGCCCGAGATTGTTTTAGTCGAGCAGTAACAAATATATATTTCAGTTAACTAATTCATTGCAGAGGCCTAGACTAAAAGCCAATTTATGCTTGATCCAAAAATGTTTGAGGCTCCATATGGAGGGTGTGACGCAATTGCGGAGCCTCCAGAGGCATGCAGAGGCCAAATCGAGCTCTGTACCGCATCGCCATGTGCCTCTCAAATTGTGTAAGAATGCAGAAGGCTCTGTATAGCTCTGCATTGACATGGTTGGTTGACGGTAGTTGGCGATGGTACATCCTGTATAAACACACACTCACTTCCTTGACAACAGCGCTATACTGCGCCGTGAAGTGCAAGAAGTATGCTGTGTCTGTCCCAAGCTCACTGGCGGAGAAACTCGAGGGCCCAGAATATTTTATACAATGTTGCTAGCGCAAGCTTCGGGGCTGGAACCAACTTAATAGTTGATACAATGTTTCAAGTTCGTTGCAGACAGGCCATGTGTAGCCAATGTGATTCATAGGATATTTTTATCTGGATATTTTCTACCTGCAGGCTGCAATGTTTTTATTTATGTAGGCTATTTTTACATGGTTGGCAATGGCAATATAACTTAATTTTTAGGTTTGTATCATTTTTCATCTAGATTTGGATAAAATGTTGATTAACCAAATGACAATGATTTTGAGATATGAAGACGTTATTATAAATTAAATGAAACTTTCACGAAAATGTGCATATGAAAACCATAACTGGCACACAGATCAGTAGAAATGGTAAGATAAATTGGCAAACAACATGAGAAAGGTTGCCGACTCCTCGTGTAGCCTATTACCGGCAACTTCAGGTGAGTAATGGCAGAATCTGCGAAAGCCAGCAGGAGCAGGAGGAGAATAGTTGGGTCAGGTTAAGGTTATTTTCTTCTGCTTATCTAGATCTCTGGCACCCTCATGAGGCATTTGTCTTACTTCATCAAACCGTAAGCTTTAAGCCTCAGACAAGCTCAATGTGTATAGTTAACTTTATTAAAACACATAGGGTGTGTCTATATGGAAAATTACACATTTAAAAATGTTAATTGGTCAAAAGAACAGTGAATATGCCAATATATATTTTTTTTTAGTCGGGGACAGCCCTTCTACATATTATGAGGCATGTTTTACCTTGCTTCAAAATCCGACTATATGCGGAGGAAATTATTTTATAAAGACTTCCATATGCCATTGAAACCAGTAGCCTATTTCTCTCATATTCTATTGGTTTCAACTTTCTTTCATTGTCCGGTAGCGAAATGCACATTCGAGCATAGCCTACTGCCTTGTGCAAATTGCTGTGCTAATAATGTTAAGAAATAATAGTTTATCAAAATCTAAGCTAAACGTTCTGATCTGTTGCATCAGATTAATTGTTTAACGTTTTTTTTTTTATGTAGCCTAAGCCTACTGGTTGTGTGAATTTGTGATCTGAGTCAGTTTGGGCTATTTCTTTCTTGACAAGCTGACCAACAGAATAGGTAAACTTTTCTACTATGGGGGAATAGTAGATTAACATAGGTGGCACATCCATAAGGCTACGGGAAGCTAAGCTTTCCCTAAATCAATTGAATTAAAATTGCCAAAATTATATAGCCTAATTAGCCTACTCCTGTCTATACAGAAATAAATACAATCATTCAAAACAGCATTACTAAAGCACGATTTGGCCACAGAGGATCATTAGCTTCCCCTAACCTAGTTGTGGATTGTTTTCAATCGTATTGCCTACAGTCGGAAGGAAAGGCAGCACGCAATTTGGGCACTGTGCACGCGGTAAATAGATTGTGGAGTTGCGACTGTCAGTGAAAAATAGAGAGGCCCAGCCAGGCATATCGCAATATTTCAAAATTTAATCGTGGGAAAACATAGTTTGGAAAGCAAATGGCTATTGCAGTAAAGAGAAGACAAAGAAAATACTCTAATCTGCCTTTTAATTATAAATTCTCAACTTAATTGAGTGAACAACAGTAGGCCTATAGCAGTGGTGTCAAAAACAACAACTTTCAATTAAGAACTAGACAACCAGATGAGGGGAGTTACTTACTAATTAGTGACCTTAATTCATCAATCAAGTACAAGGGAGGAGCGAAAACCCGCAGTCACTCGGCCATCGGTGGAATGCGTTTGACACATGGCCTATCTTATTGGCACCAGCGGAGAGCATCGGCCATATCCCCGGTGAGTGCGCACAGCGCATATTCACTCTATCATTGTTGGGTCAGTGCCACTTAAAAAAAGTTTGTTTTTGGACATTAATTTCCTCCTCCAGTGTGTCAGTGTCAGCAGAGTAGGTAGGCTACCCTGTAATTTGTCATATTAAAAAATATTCTACTAATGTCTCCAGTCATATGAAGTGTAGTAGAATTGCATGAAGTGTTTTTCCCATGCAAAGAAAGAAGAAACATATCTGAAATAGCCTATAGCCCAGGCTTCTACGCTATGCGCGCTCAGCTATGCATTGAACTGTATTTTTGGCGAACAGTGATCAAGTTATATTATTAGCCAAAATGATGACTATACAATCTACTCATCACATCACGAATATTAGGCAATTAAATCAAATTATATTTGTCACATGCGCCGAATACATCATGTGTAGACCTTACCACCAAAATGCTTACTTACAAGCCCTTAACCAACAATGTAGTTAAAGAAAGAGTAAATATTTACTAAATAAACAAAAGTAAAAAATTAAATAAATAAATAACACTAACCAGGCTATGTACAGGGGGTACCGGTACCGAGTCAATGTGCGAGTGTACAGGTTAGTCGAGGTAATTTGTACATGTAAACCGCGAGTAGCAGCAGTGTAAAAACAAAAAGTGTGGGGGGGGGTCAATGTAAATAGTCCGCGTGGCCATTTCATTAATTGTTCAGCAGTCTTATAGCCATTTACAACATTAACAATGTCTACCCTGTATTTCTGATCTATTTTATTTTATTTTATTTTAAATGGACAAAAACATTTATTTTCTTGCAAAAACAAGGGAATTTCTAAGTGACCCCAAACTTTTAAATGGTAGTGTAAGTCTGCAAATGCGATGATGCGTGGAATGCTTTATTATGAAGTTTGAAAATGTGATTCCCCAAACTTGAAACTCACGCGCCACCTATGTGTAGGCTAGTTATTTTGCTGTTCATTACTCATCTTGGTGGCTAAGGAAAAGTACATGGACAGTTATTATAACGTCTTCAAAGAGTGCGGTAAGGACACACGTCATTGCATCCTTGACTTGCATGTTCTGTTAAGATGAATTACCATAATCTAAAATGTGACTGTCATTCTGAGCACCGTGGGTGGACACCCTAATTAGGTTATGGTACATTTCTCAAATGTCCGGTAAATTAAAATGCTGCCGGTCAAATGTCCAGCGCCACATTTTCATAATGGAAACCCTGGTCTGTAGTGACTTACTTCATTCAATTTGACAAATTTCTCTTTCAGCTCCCCTTCCAGTACTGAAATGTCTTCTCCATTTTTTCTCCCCATTGGTATCTTGTAGAAATATGGTGTTATCTGTACAAATACATTTAGAATAGGGTAAAATGTATATGGAATCCAAACTGTACTGTTGGTAAAGTATCTGGGTCTATATCTGATGTACATTCAAAAGCAAAAGACAAAGCACAAAAAAAAAGAAGCTATTTCTATGCATGACTATTTTAGGTGCTGTGGGCAATGGTAATAACTTTATAGCTCATTATTTTAGATGAGAACCAAAATCTTCCTGAGAAGTAGCGAAGTTACGGAGACATACAGTGCATTTAGAAAGTATTCAGACCTCTTAACTTTTTCCACATTTATTTCCGTTACAGCCTTATTCTAAAATGGATAAAATAAAAACAATACCCCATAATGACAAAGCGAAAACAGGTTTTTAGAAAATTGTTACTACAACTTGATTGGAGTCCACCTGTGGTAAATTCAATTGATTGGACATGATTTGGAAAGGCACACACCTGTCTATATAAGGTCCCACAGTTGACAGTGCATGTCAGAGCAAACACCAAGCCATGAGGTCGAAGGATTTGTCCATAGAGCTCTGAGAAAGGATTGTTTTGAGGCACAAATTTCTGCTGCATTGAAGGTCCCCAAGAACACAGTGGCCTCCATCATTCTTAAATGGAAGAAGTTTGGAACCAAAAATACTTCCTAGAGCTGGCCGCCCGGCCAAACTGAGCAATCGGGGGAGAAGGGCCTTGGTCAGGGAGATGACCAAGAACCCGATAGTCACTCTGACAGAGCTCCAGAGTTCCTCTGTGGAGATGGGAGAACCTTCCAGAAGGACAACAATCTCTGCAGCACTCCACCAATCAGGCGTTTATGGTAGAGTGGTCAGACGGAAGCCACTCCTCAGTAAAAGGCACATGACAGCCTTTTTGAAGTTTGCCAAAAGGCACCTCAAGGACTCTCAGACCATGAGAAACAAGATTCTCTGGTCTGATGAAACCAAGATTGAACTCTTTGGCCTGAATGCCAAGTGACACATGTGGAGGAAACCTGGCACCATCCCTACGGTGAAGCATGGTGGTGGCAGCATCATGCTGCAGGGATGTTTTTCAGCAGCAGGAACTGGGAGACTAGTCAGGATCGAGGGAAAGATGAACGGAGCAAAGTACAAAGAGATCCTTGATGAAAACCTGCTCCAGAGCGCTCAGGACCTCAGACTGGAGCGAAGGTTCACCTTCCAACAGGACAACACAGGAGTGGCTTCGGGACAAGTCTCTTAATGTCCTTGAGTGGCCCATCCAGAGCCCAGACTTAAACCTGATCGAACATCTCTGGAGAGACCTGAAAATAGCTGGGCAGCGACGCACCCCATCCAACCTGACAGAGCTTGAGAGGATCTGCAGAGAAGAATGGGAGAAACTCCCCAAATACAGGTGTGCCAAGCTTGTAGCATCATTTCAAGAAGACGCAAGGCTGTAATCTCTGCCAAAGGAGCTTCAACAAAGTGCTGATATAATAATATGCCATTTAGCAGACGCTTTTATCCAAAGCGACTTACAGTCATGTGTGCATACATTTTTACGTATGGGTGGTCCTGGGGATCGAACCCACTACCCTGGCGTTACAAGCGCCATGCTCTACCAATTGAGCTACAGTCTTATTTTTTATACAGTTGCAAAAATGTCTAAAAACCTGTTTTTGCTTTGTCATTATGGGGTATTGTGTGTAGATTGATGAGGGGGAAAAACAATTGAATCCATTTTAGAATAAGGCTGTAACGTAACAAAATGTAGAAAAAGTCAAGTGGTCTGAATACTTTCCAAATGCACTGTACCTAAAACATATTTCCTTCACAGAGAGTAAAATATTATTATTGTTTTGAGAGCTGAGCATACCTTGGAGAAATTCTCCAGCATCATTTTCTGTTGGGCCTTCTGAAAAGGATCAGCTGGGAGCAGTTTTTTGTCTGTGTAAACCTCATCCAGGTAGTCACAGGTGATTGGTGACTCGTAGATCACCTGACCACTCGAAGTCTCCAATGTCGGAACCAGGCCAAGAGGGTTCTTCTTAAGGAACCACTCAGGTTTGTCTTTCAAATTAATATTGACAGTATCATGCCTAAAACAAAATACAAAGTCAATTGATTATGATTTTAATATAATCTTGGTGAAATTTAGGGAGGCTCTTGTGTGAAACGACTAACAACACAAACTCCTTAAGATTGTGTTGGTACTGGTAGCAACTTACTTGATCCCCTTGGCATGAAGCACTAGTCTGGTTCTGTGGGCAAAGGGGCAGAACCTCATACTGTAGAGCCTGATTTGACCTTTGGCCACCGGGCCAGGAGCAGAGCTTCCTGTATAATAAAGGAAATAATGTCCACTCATTAAACCCAATAAAGATCTAAGATTTGGTTTATTGCAGTGTGTAGATTCCTTACTTTTGCTGATAAACATTCACTGCCTGTTTGGCTATTCAGCATATAGGCCTTGCCATGGGATGTGTGTTCTACTCTTTCCCAATTGATCCTTGCTGTCATCATCAGATATGGTCATGCATTTACATGATCTTGTGAATAGAATGCCTAAAGCCCTTGCGGTGATACTGTGAACCAAGAGCCCTATAATCCAGTGACAGTGATTTTGCAGAACTGTAAGAGTACTAGGCTACAGGAAGCACATCATGATCATGGTGACTTTGCAAAATGCCAGGACCAAATCAGGTCATATGTCAAGATATCTTGTAATGTAAACAGCCCCTCCTTGAACATTCAGTAGTCATGATGACTGTGCAAAATATCATTTGGACCATGCATTGTCATAGGTGTCAATCCACAAATAGCACTTTTTATGTCCCCTCAGACATTATGTGTGCACATTTTGATAAAACACTAAATTTAACAGTTGGATCACATATGTTCTAACTAAACAATGTTATCTTTGTCCAACTTCTAGGAAGATTTTAACCCACTTAACCCCAACATTTCACCATCATTGTAAAGCCCTAGTTATTTTATTGCTTTGACAAAGTCATCTCTGAAGATTATTTATTTAATGCAATAAGTGATTCATTTACATAAACGAGCATAACACGTCAACCCTGTTACCCATAACTAAGATATATACATATAGGGCCTAGGCTAAAAATGTTAACAACTTCAAATATTGTTGTTAAATATTGCATTAAATTCCCCTCCCTGTTGCACACAAACTTCCATTCACCATGAAATATGAAATCGTCAACCCTGTCCCCAAAGTTGAACATGTGCTCTTAATGACAGAATATACACATTTGTATAAATAGTTATTTTTGACAGAATTACACTACCCATAAGGCATTCTATTCGTAGAATGACCCATATGAGTCAACGACAAGGGTAGAAAATACAGCTAGCTGCAACGAATAGCCTAGCCATGACCAACACATGACAAATAGATTTGAGAAATTGTCTTTCTTACCTTTCGCAAAACATTTTTCAGAGGCCATGGCAGATTAGCAGTTACTCAGTCTCAAACTGAAACAAAGGAACACATTCATACACACTTCTTGCATACAAACATGAAATGCAAACACTCTTTGTTCACGTTTTCTACAATGTAATACTTACCAAGGTATTTTCTTCACTAACGTTCTAGTCTGGTCTTACTTTGTCAGGTTTTCGAAATCTGTGTGGATTTGACAGTCGAGTAATTTACTTCCCTGTGCGTGTCGGATTTAGAACTCGTTCTTCTCCTTCTTCTGTGAATTTTAAATGGCGGTTGGCAACCAACTTTGAGGTGCATTACCGCCACCAACTGGACTAGAGTGTGGACCAGAGACAGGGAAGGTCTAAATCCTACCCAATATTCTCATCTCCCTAAGGAAACGAAATACATAATGAAATACTACATCCCCTGAAGATTTCCCCAGCAGTTCACTTAATCTTGGCTCTTCAACCCCATTACTCCTCAAATCTAATAACAATTTATCCCTTTCCCTCCCATATTTCGGCACTGAAATAGAATGTGTTCCACTGTCTCCATCTCCTCCTGACAATGATCACACCTAAAGCTTTATATAACTCAGAAAAAAAACAGTATTGTATTATACATGTAGTATTGTTCTAAAGAGAGTGAATCTTAAAAGAGCAAATCTGTGAGAACAAAGGAATGATAACATTACATTATGTTTGTGTTATAATCACTCGTAACGCTATTAACCTGAGTATGTTGTAACTGTCATGTACAAGATGTTCAAATGCAGTGCCACTCGTGTTGGCTGGGAGGGGTGAGGACATTCTCCATTACCTCAGACAGCCATACCATGATCACCACTGGCCTGAAAGACGTCTCTCTGGTCTGTACAAGACTCAGGTAAAGCAACGGGGGCAAGTCTGAATGCAATGCAGTGTTGAACACCAGAGAGCACTGTAGTTCATGAATATGTGAAATTTGACACCAGCCTGATTTATTAACATTCGGAGATTGTTAGATCATTATAAAATTTTCACAATTTCTACTATTACAAGGAGAACCTTTCTCTCATTATAATGCATTGGATTACTTTAATTTTGACATTTTTTCTCCATGAAGGCTGAAAATGGCCGGTGCTGGCAAAGCGAATGCAGCTACACAGTACAGCCAGACTATAGCCAAATCCCAGGAGAGTGTGATGACATCAGAGAACCCTATTCTCAGTATGATGGCTGACTTTAGTGTATTCAGGGTTTACTGTGTTTTGTATCTCAAATACAAGTGTCAGGTCCTATTGACATATTGTGTGAACAAAGTTTAATCCAACTCAAAGACTGGTTGTGAGACTAAGTACCCCAGTACTGGTGGGGGAAATATTGGTGTTGCCCTTGACATTTAACACATTCTTCAATACCTGAATCACAAACAGCTGTGTCAGGTCCTATTGACATATCATGTGAACAAAGTTTAATCCAACTGCTGTTGGCACATTTTTCCTTGGTGATTGCAACATCTCAATTAACTTTATCCGTTATAGTGTGAAAAGCTCATGCCCAGAATGGTAGCAAGGCAGATAAAATTTTTGAAGAAATGTTGGGTGCTGTGTCACCCAAAAAAGATTGTATATAACACAGAACTGATATCAAAGGTGTGGCATGTATTGTGTTGTGGGTTTAGAATACGTACAATTAGTAACATAACATGGAAACAGCAAGAATTGGGTAAAGTTCAGCCACTGTGCCATTACAAGGTTTATTTTTTTAAATAATTTTTTTATTTTGTGTGCACCTCAGGTGTAGGGTGATGTGTTTGATGTATTCCATTCAAGTCCCATCATGTTGAGTAGTGAAGGATTTAGTTGGGTGTAATTTGATATCTGATGTATTGTGAAATATATAATAACCATCATACAGTTCAGGTGAGTCATTGTTGACCTATATACTGGCAAAACAATGTACTGTTTTTCAGGTAGTCATGATAAATGTATCCACTAATATACTTACAGTATAGGGATACTAAACAGAATGAAGCCAACACCAGTAGGTCATCAGGGTAAAACACACACACACATACACAGGGTGAGATGGTATTCTTTGACTGACTCCCTTTCAGGTCCGAAATGAGATTGAGCTGGAGAACCTAGCCAAGTGCTACCTGCGTGGCATCCTCAAGAGAATGCTGGGATCGTGGCATCCTCAAGAGAATGCTGGGATTCCATGAAGGTCAAAGGGCAAGCTATAACTTGAGAGTCACAACCAAAAGGAGATCGTTTTCAAAGGTGCAGCAACTGATATTTTTTGAGACTGTGCGTTTTGTTGGCTTTACATCATGCCTTCCACTCTGAACACGAGGTGAAAAACGACACCTTGAAGGTGCAGACACAGCAGGAGCTGGATTAACTTCATAGAATAGAGAGTATGAGGAAGATTGAATGAGCTGTATGTCCCTTTAGTCACAGTGCAATTGCTAGAGATTTTGCATATTTTGCACTCCTTCATTGGCAATAGCCCCATGCGATATGTTTAGTTTTTTACATGCCACTCATTCTCTTCCAAAACATCCCAGCCGGTCTGACAACGAGCGGCCAAGGAGGGCACAGTCTGTGGAGGACTGAAACCGTTTGTTTGTTATTGACCTACTTTAATGGTTTGGATTTCCACCAAAACACAAGTTACTGCACATAAAATTATTCAATTTGAAAAGTACTGTGATGAACATTTTAAGTTTGTGCTTTTCTAATAACCAATTTCTGTGTTCTATTAATGTGCTTTTCTAATTAACAATTTCTGTGTTCATGCAAGTGACTGAATGAACGAATCCTCACTATCAGTATCTCCACAATTTGGCAGTACACCCAGAACCTTGTTTTGAGAAAGGGATATCTCAGTTTCAAGGTCTCAGCTTAGAGAGATGAAGCCACATGAGGTATTGGTCTGTCACATGCATGACCCAGTATTGGTCGGTCACATGAAGGAAGCAAACGTTAATGATTCATTAATTATGAATAATGCTAAATCATGCAAATATAACTTGTCTGTATATAAGAGAACTAACGGGACTGCCCCGGGTAGAGCTCCTGATCGACATGTGTACTTGGTGCATTGAGTTGGTTGGAACCTTACCCCAGAGCAGAGAAAGAAAGAGGAGAAGAAGAATGAAACGGAGGAACAAAGACAGCTGGCGGCCAAGGTACCGTCACACTTGCTTCCTACCTTTCCCTCTCCCAAATCAATCTCCTACACATTTAATGTTCATTCAAACTGGTCATTCTAATAGCCAATAAACCATTGCTAACCCAATCAAGGTCTTACTCACTCACTGATACATTGTGAAAACTGTGAGCTGTTTTCTCAATATGAATCCAGTGTGAATTGATGTTGATATTATTCACTTGGGCACCCATTGAAACTGACATTATGGATGAAATGGTGGGTGGAGTGCTCAAGCAAAAAAAAAGAGGACATCTTGAGAATGGTATATTGGTTGTCAAAATGAAAAATGAATGGATTTGAAATATGGATATGAATATGATTTTAATACCCAATATTAATTAACATTGAATAAATGTTCAGTTAACATGATAAACATGTATTAGATTGGATTGTCCTGGGGAAAAAAAGTATTTTAAATTAAACAGATTGTAGAGATGTGTTTGAATGTGTTTTTGACCCTGTGCTTTTTAACATGTAGGAGGTGCCTCAGCCTGAGTTCATTGTATCCAAACCAGATATTCAGAGGATAGAGGAAGAGAAACAGATCTATAAAGAGTATGAGAAGAAAGCCAAATAACTGAACGAGGAACAGGATGAGTACAGAAAGGTGTGATTTTTTTGTGAAAACATCTGCTTTTCAATTTTATATTCAAAATAAATATACCATCATAATAGGACCCTGACTTGGTATACTTCACATGTTCAGTTGTCATTGTCTTGTTCCAGACTCTGGAAGCTGAAATTAAGAAACTACAGACTTCCATCATGGACGCTATTAAGGGGTTTGATGAAACCTTGACCAAGCTCTTTGAGAGGAAGGTGAAATCTGATATTGTTATATACCAGGTAAGACAGCACATTACATGTCATTGCTATTTTCTTGCTATGATGTTTTATAGGAAGATCTCAAGATTGGCAGTCTAGAGAGCTCTCTCTCTCTATTGAAATAAAAACAAGGGTCTACGAGGTGAGATGTCATATTATATTCACACTCTATTGGTTAAGTATCTTTCTCATGTAGAATGTATTTACAATTGTTGGGTTAGATACTATTTTATGTTAGCTATGCCTATCTGTAATATATAGTGCCTTCAGAAAGTATTCATACCCCTTGATTTATTCCACAATTTATTGTGTTACAGCCTGAATTCTAAATGGATGAAATCGATTTTTATCTCACCCATCTACACACCGTAATGACCCCATGAAAAGTGAAAACATGTTAGATTTGTTTTTGCAAATGTATTGAAAATTAATTAGAGAAATATCGAATTTACATCACTATTCACACCCCTGAGTCAATACTTTGTATAAGCACCTTTGGCAGCGATTACAACTGTGAGTCTTTCTGGGTAAGTCTCTAAGAGCTTTCCACACCTGGATTGTTCAGCATTTACCCATTATTCTTTTAAAAATTATTCAAGCTCTGTCAGATTGGTTGTTGATCATTGCTAGACAACCATTTTCATGTCTTGCCATAGAATTTGAAGTAGATTTAAGTCAAAACTGTAACTTGGCCACTCAGGACCATTCACTGTCTTCTTGGTAAGCAACTTGGTAATCTACAGTGTAGATACAGTGGGGGGAAAAAGTATTTAGTCAGCCACCAATTGTGCAAGTTCTCCCACTTAAAAAGATGAGAGGCCTGTAATTTTCATCATAGGTACACGTCAACTATGACAGACAAAATAAATAAAAAATCCAGAAAATCACATTGTAGGATTTTTTATGAATGTATTTGCAAATTATGGTGGAAAATAAGTATTTGGTCAATAACAAAAGTTTCTCAATACTTTGTTATATACCCTTTGTTGGCAATGACACAGGTCAAACGTTTTCTGTAAGTCTTCACAAGGTTTTCACACACTGTTGCTGGTATTTTGGCCCATTCCTCCATGCAGATCTCCTCTAGAGCAGTGATGTTTTGGGGCTGTCGCTGGGCAACACAGACTTTCAACTCCCTCCAAAGATTTTCTATGGGGTTGAGATCTGGAGACTGGCTAGGCCACTCCAGGACCTTGAAATGCTTCTTACGAAGCAACTCCTTCGTTGCCCGGGCGGTGTGTTTGGGATCATTGTCATGCTGAAAGACCCAGCCACGTTTCATCTTCAATGCCCTTGCTGATGGAAGGAG